TAAAATAAAATATAATATAATATAATATAATATAATATAATATAATATAATATAATATAATATAATATAATATAATATAATAAAATAAAATAAAATAAAATAAAATATTATACATAACGTGCGCGAACGCATATAGAGATGAGAAAGAGAAGAAAGGGACGCGTTCGTAAGAAAAAAAAACGTATACATATAAATACACATCCATGCTCACGTACTCATTATTTACGCTCAACAAAGTGCATCTGTAAATTTACGGGACTGTAGATTGATTGGCTATATGATGATGATGAGCTCTGCCAATGAGTTAAGAAACAAAGAATAAATTATCGACTTAAAGGTATACGCTCGGTATGAATTTGAGATAAGAAAATCTATATCATTTCACGTCTTTTTCTACTATCTTCCTGGCTTTTGAGATGATTTTAAACGAATGCTGTATACATATATATATATATATATATATATATGTAGACCACCCTATAATGTATGCACAGACCAGTTTTGAAATTCCTTCGAGATTACGTGACATTTTGTATCCGCACTTTTCCTATCGATCTGGATATAGATAAAAGAGAAGGAAAAAGAAGAAGAAGAAGAAGATAAAGATGAAGATGAAGATGAAGATGAAGATTATGATGGTGCAAGATGGAGACATCCTATTTTTATATAAGAAAAATAAAAAAAAAACGATAACAATAAGAAAAAGGCTGCGGATACCTGTCTCTAAAAAAGTTAAAAAAAAAGTATGTATGCAGTATGGATGTGAATATCGAAAAAAAAACTGGTATTGCATATATTAATATGTAGATCTATATATAGAAAGAACGTATATATTTTTACAGGGCTCTGCCCGCGTGATAAAAGCTCTTCCTAATAACTCGCTAATACACAGATCATTAGCATAAATCATGTAAGAAGAATTGCGAATGTTGTAATTCGTGCGTTTAAACGTAATATGGTGCGTTTTTGTGATAGAACAACTTGATTCGAAACGAATTATCTTACTAATATCGTAGAAACAATCTGTAATAAGTTTTTAAAATATTATCATTTTGTAAATTATTAAGAACTTTACGATAGTAATAATAATATTTATAATAACAATAATAATAATAATAATAATAATAATAATAACAACATTAATAATATAATTCGAAGATTGATCGACTTATAAGTTAACTAATAGGACGATACAGTGTACGAATATATAAACATTAATTTCCTACTTTTTTTCGTTATAGGTTTCGACTTGTTGTTCTATCATACTTTCTTAGCGCGATAATATTGTAGATAGACATCAGCTACGAAAACAAAAAAAAAAGAAGAATAAGAAGAAGTGAAACAAAAATAAAGAAGTCGTTGATTATAAAATGGCGCAGAGAAGAATGCCATGTTTTAAAAAGTAGTCGAGATAACTTTGATTTTGTTCATGCATATACATATAAACTTCAAATTATTCTACGTGGCACGTAAATACTGTACTATATGAAAAGTTGATCCACCGTAAAAAGGGGGATATATTAAGTGCTTCATTCAAAATTTTATATATACATATATACGTACATATACAATATGATGATACGATGTTTGTATATTAAGTATATATGTACTACGTGCGAGATAATCTCATCTAGATATTATGTTTCCACTGTCTGTGATAACGTTGCAATACTTAGTACAACTCGTTGTCATTGCTATACCTCAAGAAAAAATATCGCAAGCTTTATTAGAGTCGCGTAAGTGGTTTTTATTTGGTTTCTCTCTACATCTTCGTACTATTCTACTCCCCCTTTGAATCATTGTAGAGGAAGATTTAAACGGACTACTTGGCATTTTTGTTCACACCGCTACATTTGTAACCGTTCTATTTTTTTTGTTTTTTTTTTTTTGAATTTAGAATCGAGAAAGAAAACCAAGACTAAAAAAGAAAAAGGGGATGAAAAAGAAAATAATTGGAAAGATTAACGAGAAAAATGTATGTATTTGGTAAAAAGAAATATTCATTTTGATTTGTGAGACTCGCGCGTAACTCTTGTTCTCTGCGACCAAAGGTCCGTTCTTCCAGTAGTTTTATCGTAAGTCCAAGCCGATCGATTATTATAAAAATGGCCGAAGACCATTTATCGTCATTAACAATCGTAGCTGATTGCTAGAATAGATTAATAAAACAGAGAAAGAGAGAGAGAGAGAGAGAGAGAGGAAACAAAAAAAGAAGCCTTTAACAGAAGATACATAGATCGATCGTTTAGCGACACATACATCATATACAATGAAGCGATGCGTTCATATCCGATGGTTTTTGTCGGTTATAAATAAAAGAGAATACTCCGTTGGATTGTACGAGGAAAATAAGAATGTTTATTTTGCCCTGGTGTACGTTTAAAGAAAGTGGAGATAGGGCCGCAATTGGTCGGTTGATCCGATCAATTTAATTTAAATGTGTATATGTATAGAAATGCACATAAATGAAATGATCATTGTCGGCCAAGGAATCACTGTATTGATCGGATATATATATGTTATATTTATTTATTTTTTAATATTCTGTTTTATCTCAAATAAGAACCATTTGACCGACGGTAATGACAACGAGATTGATCGACGAATTTCTTGAAAGTAATGAGAAATAACACGTCGACTGCGTGATACACCAGAAATATGGATTATGGAGCAAGCAAGTAGACAAAATGTACCGCAACCTAACCACGGACAATCAAAATGGAACATGGTGTTTGATTTGCTTCCATTACATAACATCGTGCCAAACTCAAAAAAGAAAAGAAAAGATAAAGAAAAAGAAAAAAAAAAGGGAAATCTTTTTTATTTGATAGTATAAATATATACTAATTTATTCATCTATACGTTTGTAAAACGTATGTTATATACATGATTAAATCTTTGTTGGCGTTATGTGTAATATCATCGTTATCTTTGTCATCTTCATAATCATTGTCGTTATCACGATCATTATAAACATATATGCATCGTCATCGCGTCATCGTCATAATTATTTACATTCACCGAGAGAGAAAGAGAGAGAAATAGACAGACAGATGGACGGACGGACAGATAGAGAGAAAAAGAGAGTAAGATCATGTTTATTATCGTCGTCGTTGGCGTCGACTTTAGTCGACTTCATTATTATTGCTATATTATTACCGCTATTACTAATTTTTAAAACGAATCATGCGCTGTAAAATGTTTGTTAAGTTTTTGACCTTGCTTACGTATTTTAAGTATATTTAATATGCCACGTTGTAATCACGATGAAATCTTGTCTAATGAAACGGATAAAACTGGAATAGAAAAATTGGGATACTAGTTTGATAAGTAACCCGATCACGGCCTCTCCCCTTCTCCTAACCGAATTCGTGAAAGCAAACGCGGAATTTGTATTTAAATTCGGTTGCCATTTGGTCAGAGAATATTAAAAAATAAAAATGTTTGGTCAGCATCTATAATAAGAAATGACTATATATCAATATGTAAATCTGTCATTATTATAAATACTGACCAAATAAATAAAAACATTGAACTTCTTCAGGGAGGAATTTTGAAAATCTATAGAAATATTACAGTAAGTGAAATAAAAATCAATGAAATATACGTGAGACGCACTGAAAATGTTAAATAAATTCGTATCGTTTGGTATTAAAATTGAAATGTCTTTAGTCCTTATATACATATGACGGATAGGAAAGAATTCGGCGGGATATATTTGAAATGGGAAGAGTCACGTGAGGGGTGACGTAGTGCGCAGTTCAAGTTGCGCAGTAGGTGAACACGCGAGTAGGCAAGCAAGTAGCAGGCAGCAGGCATCCCTTCGTGGTTATGCCTTGGCTGTGTCTTGGCTGAAAACTTGTCGGTCTGCATTCCAGTGTCGCGGAGGTTGCGCCGGACGCCGAGCCGACGTCGCGGCGAACCAGCCAAGACACGAGTTAGAGAAAGAGGGAAAGAGGCAAAAAGAGATCCCTACTCGCGTCCCTTCCTATGTATTCTTTCTTCCCTTTCTTCCTTCCCCTATATATCTATTTTCATTAACAGTGTGCTGCCGATCGTACTCGAAGTATCGTCCGGAAGAAAGATGAAGTGAAACGTTAAATACCGGCCGCCGCGTTAGTCGTCCGTTCTTCCTAAACGGAGGGGAGTACCATAATCTCTTTCTTAACACGAGAGTCGGTGCGTCTATAGTATTTAAAAAACAAAGAGAAAAAGTGTGAGAGAAAAAGAGGTGAGAAGGATTTTACGCGCGAACAAGACACTGAGTACAATAGGATTCAAAAGGGTGAGTTATTATCATTTGTTACTCATTTTATATCTTTCCGTTGCTTGAATTTGTTATATTTATTCTTCCCTTTTGTATAATATACTTTTTCTTTTTTTACCAAGTACATCTATATCTGTTTCCATCACTCCTACTACGTAGCTTCTCGTCGGGTGTAATTTCTAACCTACATAACTAACGAAAACTCACGCAATCAGTAGAGTTGCACAAGAGATGCATTCGATCGTTCCTTGTTTTTTTTCTTCTTTCAAAAAGATAAGATGCGAGGGAACACAGGTAAATACTTACTCGCTTACTTACATCTACATATACACCTGCCCGGTAGATCAGGAGGTGCACTCGTTCGTGCTGAGTAAAAGAAAGAAAGAAAGAGAGAGAGAGAGAGAGAGAGAGAGAGAGAGAGAGAGAGAGAGAGAGAGTATATAAACGAGGCGACGACGTGACGGCGTGAATATCACGGCGCCTTACTATAACTTTTTCTATATGTATTGCGTATTTATATTAACCCTGACGCGCGCAACCTTTGATTTTGAAAGTTTCTTTATTGCGGTATTGTTTTAAGTTAAAGAAAATATACATTTGAAGGATTCGACTTTTTGGCGCCTCTTCCAACGCGCACGCGTTCTAATTCAACTTGTTATTTCAAATCAAACGAGTAAATAAAGAAACCAGTTTGATTTTATTCTTATAGTTTGTTTTTTCCTTAAATCATAGTATTCTTACAAACGAATTGTGTTCTTCGGATATTTTCGTTGAATTTTTCCAATCATTTTTGCTCTCTTGACAAGAATAATATTTGCAAGCGTAAATGTTAATCTCCATATTAAATATTATGTAATTAAAATATTAGAATATTTTTGTAATTTAGATTTGATCTTAATCAACTTACATTCTTTCTCTCTCTCTCTTTCTCTCTTTTTATTTTTCTTCCATGGGTCAATTTACGTTCGTTGAAAGGGATCGGTTCGAATTGGTACGCAGTATACATGTTTAATGTTAGTCAATAAGGAAATACGAAATGATTAAAATGCACTACCGTACTCCTGCTAATCCTGTATCGATTACTTAAGCAATTATTTTAGATTGTCGATCCGTTAATGGGATAAAAAGGAATGAGTTCGAATCGCGCTCCGTGCTACCGTAATATTTGTACTTTTTACAAGGTGGCTTTTATTACAAGGACGTAGAATTTGCTCATTTCTTAGTTACGTTGGTCGAGATCAACGCGATCCATAGTAAACGATGTGTAGATCGAAGAATATGAATTAGTATAGTGAGTCACATCGATTTCATTACGCGTCAACATTTTCCAAGCTTGACTTTTATCGCTCGAGGGTTCTTTCTCTCTCTCTATCTTGTTGGACGAAGCGACGAAAAAAAAAGAAAGAAAAAAATGAAAAGAAGCTTTCTAGAAGGATTTGTAGAAGATGACCGTTCTCTCAGGCTCTTCAGCTGTCCATTGTGATTTTGTCCATTATCGTGCTTTGGCGAGGACTTAAGAGTAAAAAATGAATCACACCCCCTGCTATCTCAACAGGATATTCATTGTCAGAGAGAAACCCTCTTCGAGTTTCGAACGATTGGGCTTGGTAAAGGTAACGGGTGGGTTCCCACTGACCGTCGTCGCATCTATTGTCTTCTATTTGAACTGGTCGAAAACGAAACCCCCTAAACAGTCTATATTTTCGTCAACGCATATTACATAACTATATATAATAACGGAGAAACCTTGAAAAGTAGTTATTTTCTATTGATTTGATCGTCGTGAAAATCAGTGATTCTCTCCTTCTTTCTGCGTTTCTTACTAATAGCAGAGCTAGTCGAAGAGAAATTCATTCGGTCCCTGGGATCGTCGTGAAACAGGTTCTCCTCTTCCTAACGATCTTCCATTCGATAAGGTAGCAATAAATAATAAGATAGGTCGATCGTTGTCGTCGAGGGCTGGCTTCGAGGGCTGGCTTCGAGGGCTGGCTTCGAGGGCTGGCTTCGAATTAGAAAAGATTGGAAAGAATTGGCGTGATACGGGTCGCAAGTTAGTAATTAACCCTTTCAGACATCGTAGGGTTGTCGCGAGTAAAGAAATGAAGAGAACCGCGGAAGATTATCGAGTGTTCTTCGGAGGTTGTTGTTGTTGCTTCGCTTTCGTGGAGAATTTCAAAGGGAAGGGGGATGCTGGTTAAAGGGGAGGGATAGAAATTGGGGAGGGGAAAAAGAACGCGTCTTCCACGTTCGAACGAGCTTGGCAACCACTGCTTTGGAATTCGAGTTCTTTATTTTTACGAGAGCCAATGTCGGGGACCGAGCCTTCTTTGGAGTCCTTCTCACCTGTTACGTACCACCAGCCTCAGTTGCTACCATTTAACCAGTATTCGAGATTATTTCTGCGTCTGGCCCCGTTAACGCGCGCTCCCGAAAGCATTCTTCGTTAAAAAAGGAGAAGAGCTAAAGAGAGAGACGTGCGTAGCTCGCTAAGCTTTCTATACCGTGGACTACATTATTATCCTTTTTATATTCTTTACCTTTTTCTTCCCTTCCTTCGTTTTCGTGGTCGCAAGTTAAAATGTTGACTTAAAAATGCCTGCACTGCTTTTTATATTGGCTCAAAATATTTTTCAATATTTCCATGAGAATTTATTCGAAGAGAATATACTTTCGATTTCACTGGAAAACGTTTATATATAATATACCTAGGTAAGTGTAAGTATCTTAGCTGTGTACTCTCGTGGTAAGACTTCTTTTATGATTCCCAAGCAACGATAAACACGACGATGATCGGTGGCGCGTGGGCGCGAATAGAAGAGAAGGTATCGAAGTTTTCTCTCTCTCTCTCTCTCTCTCTCTCTCTCTTTCTCTCTCTCTCTCTCTCTCTCTCTCTTCTACCTACGCGTTCTTCTTGGATAAGCTGCTCCGAGGTCCATCGAAACTACTCTGATGCATCGTAAAATGAACGGGTAGGAAATCGTGACGCGAGATCCTCCAAATCCTACGAGCAAGTATTCTACCAAAAGAGAGATTATGTACCTTTCAAAAATATATCCTCTAATATGACGTCAGATTATTCGGAAGAATTTCTTTCGATAAGTAATATATAAAAATGCACCTACACACATATACATATAAAATCACACATATCATATTTAATTAATAATAATCATATTTTACTTATTTATATTAGTTTCATATAAATAGAAAATTCATAAATATCGAGAATTGATTTTATAAAATATTTTTCCAAAATAAATAGAAATGATAAAATTGGAATAATTCCGTACAAGTTGTTGACCAAGAGGATAAGAAAGAACGATGAGATAAGAGTGAAGGTAATTATGGAATGTGTCGATCCTATGACTCGTGTCCCGCGTGGGTGCTTTTATGAGAAAGACAGACTAGCCTTACCGTATATGGATATTTTGAGTTTTTCTTTATTACGTGATATCGACTTTCGTGTTACTCGAAATCTCCCTTATGATAAGTCAAATATCGTGGGGACAAAATATATTGGTAGGAAGAATTTTCCAGGCTACTTAATACGCACCGTATTGGCTATGGCACGTCCTAGTTCTTATTAATCTCGATATACGTACATACGCGTATATTTATGGTATACCGGGATCCTCTCCTCACAGTCGGAAGAAATGAGCTCCTCGTGTCTTGGGTGGAAAGAAGGCGCATAGAGCATCTATTTTCACGTCAACTCTTCGTTCTAAAGTTAAACGCGTTCGCGTTTCGCATTAATTTTAGTGAGAGGCTGGGCCAAGAGGCTTGGGTTCCCTTAGCTGGGACACATATCGCGAGCACGGGAGGAAAGACAGTGGAAAGCGGCTCAAGAAGATCTTCAACGATCCTTCCTTCTTTAATCTTATTTTATATCCTTGTTTTGTTGCAGAATGCATCAAGATGGGATCCGTCTTCACCCTACGTGGCATCGTCACCGTTCTTCTCTATGCCTTGTTAAACCTTGCAAACGGTGAGTTCATTTTTCAATTTATCTACATTTAGTAGGAAATTATAGAGAAACGACAACGAGTAAACGACAACGAGAAACGAGTATCTAACAAAATTAGCTTCGTTTAATAGCATTAACAATAAGCTAAAGAAGGATGCAGTAGGGAGTAGAAATCGGCTAGGTGAAAATAACGACGTCCTTAGGAAATTCGCGAAGCCTCTTAGAGGATGCGGAATGTAAAGTTGAAAGCAAGTTGCAGCATTCGCCGAATTCTAAAGCTTTATTAGCCGTTGAAAGTGTCTACGTCTACCACCGTCTTAGTGATGTATGATATGCTTTAAATAACGAGCCTGCTTAACTCTTCTCTTGCGTACGTCTTTTTCTTCTTCTTCTTCTTCTTCTTCTTCTTCTTCTTCTTCTTCTTCTTCTTCTTCTTCTTCTTCTTCTTCTTTCAACACTTTTCATTTCAACTCGCCACCTCGAAATATGACTTATATTTCAACGAACTTTAATTCTATTTAATTCTGAACGAAGTACAAGTTTTATTTGTTTCTTTTTCATCTCATCTTTTGAATCATTTCACAAAGGTATATATTACTTTGTACTACTTATGTCGTAGATCGAATAAAAAATGATTATCTGTTGAATGTATGACGTTAAGGAAGAGAATCGCGGGTGTATGGCCTTGAAGGGGCGTTACTTTGGTGCACCTACGCGAGTATCCTAGGACAATGGTCGAACGATGAATGCCCAGGAAGATAGATCGATCGGTCCACCCTGATCACCGGATTCGATAACACTTCGCGTTCAATTGTCGGTTTCTCGTATCTCCGTCGTTGAAAAATGCTTGCCTCGAAATTTCCGCAACGTGGGATGATTTTGTAGACAGGAAGCGATTGGTACGTGCTTCGCCGATATATCGGGATCTCGATGGCCTTTCAACGTACACTCGTTCAACTGGTTTTTTGTTGGTTAGAGTTAGCGATCTTATTACCAGGAAGGCTTCCTTTGCACTCGAGGATCTTTTCGCGAGCACGAGTTGTTTACTTTTGAAAAACTATTTGTGCTCATTATCGCGATTAGTGTAAAAATAAGCAGCAGCCTTCGGTAGGAGGGAACTAATGAACTGATGAACTAATGAAATGATTGGACTGTGTGTGTGTTGTCTTTTGATCGATTATACAGGGCAGAGGCCGGACCTTGGCATGTCCTTCAATTGGCATCCAAAACCTTTGGCCGCGCCGTTGGGGGATGACGTGAATTTCGAGTGCAGCCTCAGTCTCGCACCGGAAAGATTTCAATGGCGGCACAGGCCTCTCGGCTCGGACAAGTGGACGCCCCTAGCAGCACGTACGGTCAACAACGCTGGTGGTGGTGGCGGTGGTGCTGGAACCAGGTCTGCTGTCGTTGTCAGTTTCGATGATAAGTCGAAGGCTGGGGACTATCGCTGCGTAGCTTTTTATGGTAAATATAAAAGCATTAAAGTATACTTTTCTAGCGTAGTAGAGTTGAACAAAAGTAGAATTTGACAACGTAGGCTCCAGTGGATTGGCGTCCGATCCAGCACGGCTGACTTTAGCGACCATGCACGAGTTCTCCGACAAAAGCGACATCGAATTACGCGTAGCAGTTGGTAATACCGTTCCTATAACATGTCCAGTGCCTTACTCCGTCCCGGAGGCTATAGTACAATTTTACAAAAACGAAAAATTAGTTCAAGGAGTTGAACTGATAAACGGTCGGACGATAGCCATAGAAAACGCCAAATTATCCGACTTGGCGTATTATTATTGTACGGCGAATAATTATATAACCTCTCAGACCTGGAGGAGCAATCATATGACCATCTTGAGCGTTCACGCAAACGTGTCTCAGCAAGCGCCGTATTTCTTGAAACAATCCCAAACCGAGTACACCGTTTTACGTGGTAAAAACGTTACCATGGAGTGTTTTGCCGCGGGCTATCCAGTGCCTCATGTTACTTGGACCAGACTAGGTGGTACCTTGCCTTCGAGATCGATACAAACGAAAGCTGGATTAACGATAATTAACGTCCAACCTTCCGATCGCGGGGAATACGATTGTGCCTGGAGTAATGGCGTATCGAGTCAACCACTCAAATCTGTGATCATTTTGAAAGTTGCCGAGGAACCGAAAATCCTCAAATCACCCAAGGCTTTGACCTTTTCCGAGGGCGGGGAGTTGGAATTGTCCTGTAGCGTTACAGGTCAGCCCGAACCGAGCATCGAGTGGTTAATAAACGGTGAAACTTTGCTGCCTGATAATAACTTGGAGATTCGTGGCTCGACTCTATTCATATCGGAGGTCGAGAAGAAACACGCTGGTATCGTTCAGTGCGTTGCCAGTAACGAGTACGGTTCCGATTCCGGCTACAACTTGTTGAGGGTTAATCCAAAACAGCACGTAAGTGGTGCTGCGGCCACTTCCGAGTCTAGATCAGAATACGGTTTTCCCGGATCTTCCAGGCACAAACATACCACCAGGGGCGGTGGTAGAAGAAGAAACAAGGAAGTGAAACGTAAAGGCACTGGTAATTATTATTCTTATCGTAATAGGGGGTGGGCATATTATAATATTTCATCGACACCCCGAGTAGAACATTTGAAAATATTTGTGTGCTTTCAGTCGTATTAGTTCCGCCTAATCAGCCAAACGTTACCAGACTCTCGGACGTCTCCGTAATGGTTAGATGGTCCGTACCCGAGAACAAGGGTCTTCCAATAGAATTCTTCAAAGTTCAATATCGTCAACTTGGTCCAAGGATAAATGGTAAACCGGGCAAGTGGATGACGGCGAATACGGAGATTCCTAATCACGTGCGTTCCTTCGAAGTTACGGATTTGCAGCCGGACAATACCTATCGATTTCGAATCGCTGCCGTTTATTCGAACAACGACAATAAATTGAGCCCGAATTCGGTGCGTTTTCATTTAAATCACAACGGTGGCTTTGAAAGCAATAGGATGCCGATCCCCTTGTTGACAAATACCGAAGCCTTGAGTTACAACGAAGTGTTGCTCGTTTGGCAAAATCTTAACAAATCGGCGAAAATCGATGGGTTTTACGTTTATCATCGTGCCTCGAGCTCGGCCGGGGAATACGTTAAGACTACGGTCGAGGGCAAGAATTCCACGAACATTACGATATCTCATTTACAACCGGACACCACTTACGAATTTAAAGTACAAAGCTTCTCCGTAGACGCTGCTTCGGAATTTTCTCAAATTCTTCGACAGAAGACGAAAAAAGGTCCGATAAAAGAAGAAAAAAAAGCAGTCGACGAGCAAGTAGTCGCTGAGAACAAATTGAAGCCAACGGACAGCAATCGGAACGACAACACGTACGAGATTATTGGTTCCGCTTGCGGTACATCCGCTCTCTTGGTCATCATTGTGCTCTTAGCGCTCTGTTACAAGAGGACCAAGAACAAGCAGAGTCCTCGCGAATCCTCTCAAACCGAGTGCGGTAGGTCGCGCAACGTTTTTCCTTGTCTTTAACGCTTTGTCGTCCTTAATCATATACACATGTACCTAACAGGGAAACCAATAGCAAATGGAAGAGTTACGAACGGAGGTGTCACCGATTCGAAAATTAATATAACGTCGAATCCACTGGCAGGTCTCGACGCTTCCGACGACACGATCCAACCTAAGGTCGGTATCTCTTTCTCTCCCTCTCTCTCTCTCTCTCTCTAACATTATTATGAGCATTTTCTTTCGGAGAAACATCGTCCCTGGTGGTTGCTTTTTTATTTCCTAAATTTCCTAAAATCCATTGACTTGAAATATCGACATTAACCCAATAAATAACTTTGACATCAAAGAAAATCCTTAACTGATCGATCAATGAAATCTCGAAAAAACATTGACGTTTCTATCCTTTGATTTAGTTGTTCTTGTTGTTGTTCATATATCATTTTCCTTCCTCTATCGGAGAGAGTCGTTCTTCCTTCTTTGTTTTTCCGAGCACCATACACGTACGTTAACTTACACGCTCTAGATCTGAAACGAAGCAACGAACACGCATGTTTCTGAACAGAGCGGACAGCAATCGTCGATGGAAATGACCTCCTTTCTAAACGGGCAAAACAACAACGGCAACGGCAACGGCAACGACAGCGGCAGCGGCAGTGGCAACGACAACGGCAATGAGGACTCCGTTGGAATCGACGTGGATGTTTCCCGTAGTAACGAGCCAGCAGCACCCCCGCATCAAGGATCACCACCTAACGAGCAACCACTTTGAATGACATTGAAACGTATTCATTGACGAATATCGCTTAGTTATACACACCGACACTCACGAGTTCACGTTGACTTTAAGATAATAGGCAGCTTTTTACGGATACGTCCGATTCTTCCATAACAAAATTCCGGATATCCGTTGTCTTTTTTTTTTTTTTTTTTTTTTATATTACGACAATTAGAATCGACACGTTAATTGCTTCATTTAAATAATATTTTTCAAATTCTATTTTCGCGCATGCACAAATATACAAAGTTACTGTAACGTTACGTTTGAATATTAAGTGTATGTAACTTTTGCGACATGTGAAAAGAAATTCGATTCGAAAAAGCTTCAATGAAAGATCTCTTCTTCGTGAACGTATCGCGCTTGTTAATATTTCATTATAGAAATCGCGCTATATTTGTAAATATATATAATTCAAGATACGTTTTATCTTCGAACGCCGTCCAACGAGATAAACGCGCCGTGTTTTACAAACACATACGCATATGCACACATACACGCACACACCCAGACAGATACACATATATATGTATTTTTTTTATTGATAATTTCGATTCGATTCGATATGAAGTTTCCATTTATAAATTAAATTACATTATATATACATTATATATAATATATAGATATATTAGTCCGTTTTTTCGGCTAATAGATCTGATAGCAAATTAACGTGTTGAAACGAACAAAAGAATACGAACTGACGTATAAATTTACATATATGCGTGTAAAATGACACTAAATAATATGAAGCGAAATATCGTATTTTATAAAGACGCGCGTAATAATAATTGTGCGAGATGCACATATTGTTATTTTATTCTTATACGTCATTACGTAGCTTGGCTACGTTTATTGCAGTATTCATTTCTCTTTTGATATGATCAAAGTGTTTTTCTATTCTAACAAGAGAAAACTTTTAATCATACTTCCATAATATTATATTTATATTATCGTCTCGACTGATACTAATTTAATTACGATTCATTATTAGTAAAACCAATTTTTTGTCTATACATCTCGTTGTTATCCTCGAGGAGAATCAGGTATCGTACAATACTCATTCATTTCTCTTTTAAAGACTATTTCAAATGGTTGCATTTATTTCTACAACGATATTTTTATCGAAAGATTATATTTTATATGTATGACTCATTCATTTAACAAATTTATTAACTTCGACACAAAGAACAATGAAGAGGTAGAACCAAAATATTGATATAATATTATACGTTTTTCCCTTATTAATCAACGACGAGATTTCCTCGTGTAGTGTCATTAAGTATAATTAGTTTCCAAAATTCATTTTATACTAAATTACATTTTAGTTATTATATAATTTTTACAAAATTTTTTAATTGAAGTTATTTCTTTTCTGACTTATGTGAACGCCATATGTATATATATATATATCATAGACATATATATATATCAAAGACATATATATATCAAAGACATATATATATATATATATATATCATACATATCAAAGACAAAGTGTCGAAATAAAAACATGGTATCAGAGATGCATACTACTAGAGAAAAACAAAGGGATAATTTTATCCTACCGTTAATATCAAAAGATTGAATCTTCAAAAAATAGGACAGATTAAAATGTGTAAATAAAAAGAAACAACAAAATATATATATATATATTTGCAATCGCATTATGCGACGTCAAGTTATGCGCTAGAACGCTTGTACGTGCACGTGTGTTCTCTCCTTTTTTATTTGAGCCCCTCTTTGGTTTTGTATATACATGCATACATAGATACATAAATGCGTGCATGCATACATCCATACATAAATACAAATTCAGTTTACGTACGTGCTAATCGTATGCGAGTATCTTTGCTTATGCGTGCACATATAGGCGGGCGAGCGTACGCGTACACTTTTATTTTCATAAGTGCGATTATTTAAATGTTTAATTCGTCCGCTTCCTATTATTCACCTTTGCATACAGTTTAGATTTATTATTCTAATACAGTGATTGGGTGGTAGCGGACCTTGTATATAGTAGAATATTTGATGCGTTGTCATCAAAGAAGGGGAAAGAAAGAAAGAAAGGAAAAAAAATATATATTATATATAAACCGATAGATGGAAATGTATGTGCCTTATATCTTGCCCAAGTAATTAGGTATAATGTGATCAAGACCTGCGATAGAATAAAAATTAGTACTAATATTAACATATTACGAGATCATGGTAATACCAACTCCGTATTGTTGGCGGACGACGTAAATAATACTCAAATTCGTCGTTACTATAGTCTATTTCAATCAAACACGTTTTATGTACTTAACCAGATTGTTTCTTCTTTTTTTTCCTTTTTTAGAAATACACTTTTTTGACAAAAATGAAAGATCTACCGCTTACATTATTTTCTTCGTTTTCCTTCGACGTACGAAACGAATAATCGACGTACAGTTACGTACAGAAGTTACGTGTTATTCTAACAGGAATTTGGAAGAATTGCAAATTTTGCTTTGAACGAAAGACACCAAACCGTATATAGTAATGTGGTGATACTTGTCCCGACAAGCCGAGGATGCATCTTGAAAATTGCTTTATAAAATACCATAGAAAATAACAATAGAGATTCTAATGTTTAACAAATGTCTTTCTTTGCAATATATTAAAACGTAAAAGTTTGAAACGTCCAATTGTGCGTAAAATCGGCAAATATGCGGAAAATTGTCTCGAGGGCAAAGGATTAATATATAATAAAAATTCGATATAGTTTTGTATATTAACGGGGAGAGAAGCTTGTATAACAAAGTAATATTTTATGAAAAAATTCTGATCCAACAAATAGCAGGGTAAAAAGTTTAGACATGCAAATGTGTGACTTTAAAGTTAGGAGGCGTGTTATAGAGGGTTAAGAAATCATAGAAGGCTCCCGGAATTTCATTTTCTCGCGTAGAGCCAAGGAAATACATATGTGTCTGCAAAGTTCGCCAAGAAGATGAAAAAAGGGAGGAAGTAGAAGAAGAAGAAGAAGAAGAAGAAGAAGAAGAAGAAGAAAAAGGAAAAAAAAGATTGTGAGAAGAAACGAACGGTTTCTTATATATCATTCCTCTGCGGTATGTGATTTCTATCGAGAATTCGAACCTCCGTCGTATTAGCCGAAGTCGTCGAACATTCGAATGGAGCTATCTACTTCTTTCAGGATATTTTAAAAGAGAGAACATCATTGGTTCTTACTAGATATGCAAAGCCATTTCGAGTCTAACGATTACGTAACGTACCCATAATACCTTCAATTTGAATAACATTTCAAACTCATTTCGCTTGGAGGGTGGCATTTAAAATAAAGTCAAACAGATAAAAACTTAGTCAAATCCATTATAAATTGTTTCGGAGTTATCGAATTTCCAGCATCATAATTATTCGGGAAGTTGTTAGAATCAGAAACGTTGTATACCTATATGTACATAGAGAGTAGAGAGGACTTTTCGATTTTCCTGGTGTAAGAAAAAGTAAGGCTTGAAAAGAGGCAACGTCGTCGAGAAGAAAGATAGAACGACGATGAAAGTAGGAATATATACTAGGTAAAGAAGAGCGAGAGAGGCCTCGAGTCGCCTGGCCGAAACAATCGTTATGATTTTCCGGCGTGGTTCGCTCGATACCGTCCCGCTTTCTGGAGCTGCGTTTCTGTGGAAAGGGTAACACGGGGTTGGAACGTGTGCGTCTGCGGGTTGCCGACAGAATGCTCGGAACCTCCGAGGACCGGCGGCGAGGGCTTTCGGTGGAGGAAGGGACGGCGGCGTATACGCGTTAACGCATTATCTACCTGACGAAAATTTCCTCCTACGCTCGTTAAACGCGCTGCCATGCATGAGACGCCAAATTATACACAGAGAACAGAGGATTTAGATATTATTATCCCGGTTTCTCTCCCGCAAAGATTTATCCGCGAATATTTAATCCGAGAAACGCTTGTGGTTCATTAACTGTCCAAACTACACTTCAAATGTCTTTCATAATTCTTTATTAATTTACCATCTCTCTAAGGAATTTATACAAATATATACTTTGAGGAAGGAATACAAAATCGTCTTTCCGTCCGCAAACGAGACTATTGGTGGTATATTTTTCTAAAAGCAGCTTTACGTGAAACGCATAATCCGTTGATGCTACTACATCTAACAAAACCATGATGGAATATGCAAACATTGTTTTTTTTCCAACGCATGTTCGTTCAGAGTACTACGAAGAGCGTTAGAAAATCTCTTTTATAATCGAACACAAAGAGGGAACATATATTATCTGTTTAATCGTATTACAAGTTGATATTTTAATACGATATTTTAATACGTGTAGAAAAAAAAAAGAAGAAAATCGTATCGTTTAGTGTCGCGTTAATTACCGTCATAGGTGGACTAGACATTGGGCGAGCGGTAGAAACGTCGGTCACTGCAAGGGGGTAGTTTTGTCTCTCTCTCTCTCTCTCTTCGGGGAGAGAGAATAAATCCAACGAGAGCCGTGTCCGGCGAGATCGGAATTTTTGTTCTCTCGAAAATCTGCTCGGTGAAAGAGGGTGAGACTAAAAGGTCTACGGAGAAAGAGAGAGAGAGAGAGAGAGAGAGAGAGAGAGAGTTGGAGAAATGTACGGTAACGGGGCGTAGTCAAACGAGCGTCGGTCCCGGGAGCACGGTCTCTCTCTCTCTCTCTCTCTCTCTCCCTCTCTCTCTCTCTTTCTCTTGCCTTCCATCACCTTCTCTCTCTTTAGCGAGAGAGAGAGAGAGAGAGAAGCATTGAGCAACGTGGCGGAAGGAGGCGTAAGACGATGTCATCTCTTGCGTCCTACGAACGTCTTCCTTCGCGTAGAAGAAGACACGAAACGCGCGTTAAATCAATGATGCCGAGCTTGCGCCGCGTTACGCCCGCGTAACGTGCCACGAAGCCGGAAGCTCGATTCCCCTAGACCCTTTCTCTCTCATCCTACGCGCACCCTCTTCCGTCGACTTTACCAAAAGTCCTACAGCTCGGCGTGTGCGGTGCCCGCGTGTTCCCGTTCCTCTCGAGGTCATCATCCCTCCCACTAACTTTTCTATTTGTTCGAAGCTACTACTACTCCCCCGCCGCTCTTACTACTACTACTACTACTACTACTACTACTACTACTACTACTACTACTACTACTACTACTACTACTACTACTACTACTACTACTACTACTACTACTATCATTCCTATTTTTCATCGGATCAACTCTTCCCTTATCTTTGTTTCGTCCTCTTCTTGCATTTTCTTTACACGTAAAAGTTCGATGAGCATCGTATAAATGCTTTGAAGCAATATAAATCTCTGTCAAAGTTGTCTCTCTCGCGCTCTGGTCGGTTCTTTCGTCGTTGTCCCGTGAAGAGGACCGATGAAAAGGACCGATGAAAAGGCTCGTCGTCTCCTCCCGTCTACGATGCCTTTTCTCACCCCTTTGTCACCCCTTTCGCAGCTCGTACTCGCGCACGCTCCGTACAAAAGGGAGGAGGAGGTGGAGGAGGAGGAGGAGAACGAGCCAAGTCGCTTCCTCTTTCGCGACGCACACGAGCTCGTGGCGCTTTCCGTTCCGTGCCGTTCCATTTCCTTCCGTTCCGTTCCATTCCGTTCCGTTCCGTTCCTCTCGGCCATCCTACGTCTTCCAGTCTTTTACTCTTACTCCTCCGGAGAGCGGAATATAGATTCCGTACGCGTAACGCGTTACACGTACGCGGCTGCTGCTGCCGCTGCCGCTTCGACGGGGTGGACGCCGAAACCCAGATACCCTATTTTATTATTCCCCTAGTACCAGGGGCTGGACGTGCTTTTCTATTTTTTTGTCCACCTTTCGAGCTTACGAAAGAAAATTGTTAGAACACTCGAAGGAAGGGGACGCGCGTCTCGATGACATCCTTGCGAACGTAATCCTTGCGAATAGAAAGGGAAGAAGAAGCGGGTACGGTGATGCGACTGATGATTACGCGGATACCTGGAAAAATCGCGATTGAAAGTAAGCACCAATTAAATCGGTGCTATTCGAGTTCGGCTTGAAATGGTTCTAAAGTGCAACCCTACCACGAACAGGAAGATCTCGGTAGACGTTGGTGAGCGTTCGAGAAGGGGTAGTGCGCGTTGGAGGTGAACCTAAAGATTTTCGTCTCGAGAATCTTCAAATGTTTCTACGCATACGTACTCCTGATAGATAATGCATCGATACGTTGTTCTTAGAAATTTGTTGCGCACGAACAATAATACGCGTCTTTGAGATAAAAAGAAATATACATTATTGGTTCGCTTTGAAAAGGTCGAACGCACCGATAATGCTCTCAACTCATTTAATTTACCTCGCGCTGCTATATGCTAACGTTTTACGTACGGTGATGGTTGTTCTTTCGTGCGCGTCGATCGATCGTAACTCCGTGCCCCTGCTACGAGTCCTTGTAGCGTGAAATTTTCTTCCTACTACTGGGAACAACGTGTCTTATCCTTTTAATCAGTAGATACTTATTCCATCGGTTCGTATATCGAACGAACGAACGAGAACAACGTGAGTAAGGTAGAGATTAATAGATAGAGCGAGAGAAGGAAGAGGAGGAGGAGGAGGAGGAGGAGGAGCGAGAGGAGGAGGAGCGAGAGGAGGAGGAGGAGGAGGAAGAAGAGGAAGAGGAGAAGGCAGTAGAGAATCAATCGAGAACACAGCCGGGTCTGTCCAAAATCGGCGGAATAATGTTTCTGCGTATCGACAGGATCGTGCGTTCGGGGATATTGTTTCTGTTGTGCATCGAGTCGAGTTTTCAGCAGGAGGAGGATATACCCCATAACGAGTAAGTATGCACATCATTTAAACTTTTACTCTGATGTTTTCGTTTGAAATGGAATGTTCGCGTATTTAAGCGAGCGTAGAAAAAAAGAAAGGAAGTTTTGGCCTGCGTAGGACGCGTAGTAGGGTCCTCGTGTGGGCGTACGGGTCGTCGGTCGTCGATCGTCGGTTGTCGGTCGTCAATCGTCGGTTGTCGGTCGTCGGTCATCGTAGTACTTGCGACGCGTATTTGCGACACGCCGGACGCTCTTCTGCCCCTTCCCGCCCCTCTCGGCCCCTTCCGGCCCCCCCGTTCGCCCTTTTGCACTTTCCATCGAGAACCGGTCTCAAGGACGAGTCCATTGTAAAAATCAAGATACGTCGATTTCTCCAATTTGTCCGGATCCCTCGTGCGTCTTCCGGTTTATCTGATCGCGCCAAGTGAGGACGAGTTGCTCGATGCAACTATGACCTCGATCTGCATCATCGCGCTTGAACCATCGACGTCTCGTAGCAGCTCTATCTATGTCTCTTGGTCAGGGTTCGATTTACGATAGCTTACAGTTTTTCTTCATTTTCTTATTTTTCCATACTACGAGAGAGTAGCAAAGACGAGGCCAAATAATGCTGACATAACGTTCTTCCTTTCCAGGTCATCCCGTTTTCTCGTAGATTCACAATCCACGAAATACGTTCATTTTCAATCTGGGCCATTCTCTTTTCTCTACGATGTGTTTCCTCAAATGTTAGGTGTTATTTTAGCTGAGATAATGTTTCGGGTAACTCGTTGATATGAAATTCCTCTATAAGAAATACTTGCGTTATTTCGTCGAAAACGATTGCTACAAACGATATTGTATATTTCATTAAAAATCTAAACGATCCTATATCTCATACTTATTGCAAGACACATACGTTACAGTTATTATAGAAGACAATTTTTTTCTTATATTTGCAGAGTCAAAAACTGGGCGTTGAAGTTTGGAGTGGATTTATGGGAATTTGGTAAGCAAGTGACCAAAATGGGCGAAATACAGAGGGTAAGACGATATTTTTTCTCGACGAAATATAATTGAACCGATGTGTATTTTACGTGGACGATGTTTCTTTCGCAACGACTTTCGTAGAACAGAAAATGCAAGAAAGTAGGACGTAAACGTTGAATAACGAGCGGTAACGAGACGAAGAGAACTGGAATAATAGTAGGGTCTGGCATCGAACCTCTTGTTCCGACTCTTGCTGCAGTTTGCGTTTCCTAAACTTCCAATTTTATCCCTTTTTCCACACTTTTGTTCTTCTTCCTCTTGCATTTTACATCGTAAGTTCTCCCACGTCTGTTCGATATACCATGGAAAAAAAGAGGAAAAGAAAAGAAAAGAAAAGAGAAGAAAAAAGCAACCCTAACGCCTGCAACCCGTTTTACTCGAGGGACCTTAATGGACTGTGTGTTTCTCATCGTGATTGCAGCCGCGTGCATCATTAATTACGTTATTAAACAACCTCCGCTGTTCCTGCGGCCTGCATATGCTCCGATGTATTATTGCACCTATATTTCTTTTCGTTTTTTTTTATCCTTTCATTTATTTCTACAAGCTTCCAAAGAAATCCTTGAATCGAGACATTTCTTTTTCAACCCCAATTAATTATTATCGATTTAAATATGCAAATTTCAATAGTCGGATGATCAGAGTGGCATTTTAAAAAGGGAAATTGAAAACGTTTTTCTGGAATATAAACGAGCCATATATAATAGTTTTCCAAAGTCGAGATAAATGAATGAGAGAAGTAGAAAGCGAGGGAGAAAACGAAAGCAGGGGTGGGTGATGGTGGTAAAATAAAGACCGCCAAGAGTTTGAGAGCGTCGGTATGAAAAGGTTCGTTTAAAAGGGGCCCTTTTGCAGGTGGCTCTCGAGTTCGAAGTTGTACGAGCTCGAACGTGGCTTGAACGTGGTTCAACGTGGTTCAACGTAGAATGTAGAACTTACGTACGTATATGTAGGATGTAGGCGACTCCAATTGTTCTCTTTGTCTGTGTGTGTGTGTAGAGGGAGGGGGCGAGGTGGTCGTATAGTCGCAGCGAGTAAACGGACGCGACACGCTGATCGATAATACGCGAACTTCGAATCCCCTGTCGCTGATACGACAACGCGCGAAAAGTACGAGCGTCGAATCGTGCTGGCGTTCCTCCCTTCTCTCACCCTGTTCGTCCTTTCCTGGGACTGCCGCCATCGCATCTCCGCCAACCACCAACGTTTCTTCCACCAACGTTTCTTCCACCAACGTTTCTTTTACCAATGTTTCTTCCACCTACTATTACTATTCCTACATGAACGAAATCGAACATCTATCGAGTGTCATCGGATTCGCCATTTTCTTATTCTTCGGCGAATATATCTTTGTAGCTAACATACCCTCGTTTTTTATTATACAACTTTGAAAAATTAGTTTCAACACTTACATTAGCATAGATCTTAGTTAATCATTTATTTGCTATCGTCTTTTTTTTTCTTCTAATTATATATTTTTCTTACTTGAATTCTGAATATGTAGAATAGATCAATTATTCGCACAGATACGTACACATACGTAGATGAGTAAATACGCGTACAATATGTTAGAATATATCGAAAGCATATAAGGAGGAACACTCGAATGGGGTGAGCCTTTTAAATTTACCTGTTGCTCTCGCAATTCAGAGTGAGAGAGAGAAAGGGATAATATTTTTAATTCGACGTAGTTACACCGACTGATAATGTAATATATATAAAAGAGACATTAAACGTCTCGTACGCGCGAACAAATTCAAATAGAACGAACGAGAGATATAAATACGTCTTCGTCATATCAGTAGAAATTGCTTGCGAATGATTTATAAAGTTATTTTCAAGGTAAATTCCGCGGGTTGTGTTCGTTTTTAGAAATCCTATATATATACGTATTGGTTATTCGTGAAATAATAGGACGATTACGTGGCGATATTGAGCGAAAAGGGAGACTAAATGAGAAGGGATCGATACGAGAGGCATTACTCTTCATACTTCCGAGATTAAACTCAACGATAAAAATACTTTTCTTCGTTCGACTAACTTTGTCTAACCAAGAATAAACACTTTTAACGCGACATCCACCCCTGTAAAGTTGATTTTGCGCGAGATTAAAAATACTTAAATGATAAGTCGTATGATTTAAATGAAGTTTGTCGTAAATGCAATTCTAACCCTCGGGGGTTCGACGCACTTGGGACAATTTGGTCTATATCGTCTGTTTCATTTTGACTACAATTATTAATAAATAAATATATATTTCGGAGAGAGAAAGAGAAAACAAAGATCATTAAAAGTAACTCGTCGCACCGCACCGCTCGTGTTTTATTTCGCACGAGTATCAAGAGAAAATAAAAAGGCTGCTTTTTTGTTCTCTCTCTCTCTCTCTCTCTCTTTTTTTGCCGTCTCTACTTTTCCACAGATAAGAAGGCTCGCTCGCTTTTTTACGCTCGATCCATCCTGTCCATTATCCTCCTTTTCGTTTCTTTTTCTACGTAACACCCCCTTCCTGGGCTCTTCAGCCGCTCAATTCTCCCTCGTTACTTCTCTCTTCTCCATTTCCTCTCGACCCTCGTTTACCTTCCGATAACATACAATTAGCGATTTGGTTATACGAACGCAAACGAAAGAATAGCTTTCTTTTCTTCTTCCAAATAATTATCACAAATTCGAAAGAGAAATTGTAAGAATAAAAATTGCTCTCCCTATCTCTTTGATAGTTGTTCCGCGTGTCGAACAATTCGATACGTTATTTCCATTTTGGTCTCGATAATGTGTGTACCGTTAAATGCGCTATCAACGTCAAGGCCAATTGCCACTTTGCGTGTCGATTAAAACGACGAGAATAATAATACCGACGATCGCCGACGTTTATTTTCATCCATTAACGACGCGCCGATTAATAACCGTTTTTACATATAAGCAAGACAATTATTATACAAATATCGCATCGTCCACGTTTATCGTTTTCTTTGACCATATATGTATCGTAAATTGAACATTTTTGTCGATTTACAGAATTATTACAAGGTCGAGCCGAAACTCAATAAAAGGGACGGCTTGGTATTGGTCAGAGAAATGGCTGCTGAAGTTAAAAATATGATGGACTTCAAAATGAACGCTGTTATGGTGAGTTAGGAATAACGGAATAAGGAATTAGATATTTGTGTCAGTGACCGCGTACACTCGTATTACTCGCTACTATTAAAAGCATCCTATTGATGTAATACATTAGAGTATCTATAGAAAGGGTATACGTATATAAGCTTGTTAGTATATTTATTTGCAATCCGATCGACTCGGTTTGTTTCAATGTTCTTCGTTATCCGAGAAGAATCGGCAAACTGGGACGGATGAAGTAATTGCCGTCAATAAGAATCCTGTCACGTTGAAGGAAAATACCTGACTGGCTTGACGAATCTAAACCCGGCACGGCGCATCGCGTCCCCCACCACCACTTGCAACCCTTCCGCCCATATACATTTGCATTTGCATTTGCATTTGCACTTGCATTTGCACTTGTATTGCGTCGCCGCTGACAACGATACGCTATCTCCTATCTCTGTCGTTATCTTAAGATGAGGAACAAAGTATATATATATATATATATATATATATATGTATGTGCTATATACACTTATCCTTACGAACGATTAGAGATAGGAGTATGCGAATAATTAAGTTCGGCCATTATCCTATTCCGTTGATCTCTTTTTAATTAATTCTACAATTACGACGTGCAAATGATCTCTGTTGTATACACCTCTAATCGATTTACATTTCCGAACGATTTCAATTTATAATAGTACGTTTATAATAATACGTTTAGAATACGTTTAGAGTCGACTAATTTGTATTAAGAGTGGAAATAAATCGAAATGTTTGATAAATTGATGACAATTTCGCAGAGACTAATGGAAAATGCGGAACAGGCTGCAGTCTCGCCGCCAAGGGATGCTAACATTTTGCCGAAATATTCTTCCTATCGTTATAATCTTTTCACGACTGATGGCAAAAAGTCTTCCGATTCTCGAGAAATATATCTAAATACGCATCATCATTTCGATTGGCTGGCAGTAAACGTTACTCTATCGTCCGTTCTCGTACCGGGTGAAATAGATGAAACAGGTAAATAATCATTTTATTTATAAAATAAATCGAAATCCACTTAATCCAAGTAAATAAAGTGTATTTCTCTGGGTCTCTAAAGTGAGATAGAGAAAAAAGAAGAGGTAGTAGTACCTACCTACTTTCCGTTCGTTCTTTCAAAGTTACTTTAACTTTCTCGACAAAATATCCCTCGCTTTAGAATCCTTTTAACGTCCTTCGAAATGTCATTATAGAAAGCGACGTAGCTGCAGGCATTCTATGGAGCGAATACTTGGATCCTCTTTTCATCAATAATTACGAAAGCGATCCTTCGTTATCGTGGCAGTACTATGGTGCAACGTCGGGATTTTTGAGACGTTTTCCTGGTAAATAAGACAAATCTTCTGACATATTATTCAAATGATTGAACTATCTAAAGTTGATATTCGTTTAGCTATAACGTGGCCCCCGGTGGAAGGAGTATTTGGTTCGAACAAGGCACCACCCGTAGTACTTTCGAATCCTGTATTTCGTCACGTGTACGACTTCAGGACTTCCAATTGGTTCGTCGGTGCTGCCAACAGTCCGAAAGATTTGGCGATTTTAATAGACACTATGGGATACGACAGCGAAAGGAATCAAAGATTGATAAGCGCCACGACCAAAGCGATATTGGATACGTTAGGTCCTGACGATTACGTGAACGTTTATCGATACGGGGAGACGGCTGAGGAAATCGTTCAGTGCTTCAAGGATAGTCTGGTCCAAGCTTCGCCGGAAAACATACACGAACTCAACTTGGCTATGAATACATTGAAACACGAGGAAACGACTAAGAACATATCGGCGGCCTTGAGTACGGCCTTTGAAATCCTTCACAAGTACAACAGAACCGGTCAGGGCAGTCAATGTAATCAAGCGATCATCTTGATAACGACCGACAACGAAGCTCCACCTACGGAAGTGATCAGAAGGTATAACTGGCCGCACATGCCAGTCAGATTATTTGCTTACCTTATTGGCGGTGACAAGAGTCCGGAACTCTTTGACATGGCTTGTACCAACAAAGGTATCGATCAACATTTTCATTATTTATCTAATCCCTTACAATTAGTAACTTTTTCATAAGGATGTCGTTATAATTGACAGGATATTACGCGAGAATTACTAAGCCGGAAGAGATTAAAAGTAAAGTTTTCGAATATGTAAAAGTACTTGCACGGCCTATGGTTCTTTATCAGCACGATCATCCTATACACTGGAGTCCAGCTTACATTGGCGGAAAAGTAATAATAATCTTAATCGGAAGAAAAGAAAATTCTTATTAAATCATCTAATAATATATTTATTTTGATTTTGGATATTTTTAGAGTAGAAGATACGGTCGAGAAAATCGCGGACAATTGATGACATCCGTCACTGCTCCGATTTTGGATCGTCGAAATCATACGGTACGTTTTACTATTTATTATTTGTTTCTTTTTTTCAATCTATCATTCGATTCAATTGATTTTAGTTAAAAAGAGCTAATTTATTGGGCGTCGTTGGTACCGACGTTCCCGTAGAAGAAATTCAAAAACTGGTACCGCCATATCAGGTATTTATTTTCTATTCATTTGATTTATTTCAACGATAAACATCTAATGAATGTTATTTTCCCTCACACAGTTGGGAGTCAATGGATACTCCTTTATCGTTGACAATAACGGTCGTGTCTTATATCATCCGGACCTGCGTCCATTGGTGAGTAAATCCCACGAACAAAGATATTACCCCGACGAGTATATTAATTATATTTAAGGAAATAAAAGTAAATTAAATGCAACCAACTCTTAATCGTTATGCAGCCAGAAAATACAGATGTGAGTATAGAAGACGGCTTTAATCGGTTTAATAGAAATTTCCTATTTTGTAATTCATTCGAAATCGTGTTTTTTCTTAACATAGTACGAAGAGACACTGAAGCCTACGTATATAAGCGTAGATTTATCGGAAGTCGAGCTAGCCGAATACGACGGACCCTCGCACCCTTTGAACAATTCACTTCTTTTAGACGTAAGTATCCGTAAATAGAAATTTATTTATACGATATCTCTATATTTGATTATTAATTACAGTTGAGGCACGATATGATAGATCAGAAAGAAGGGGAGATCGGCTTCAGCGTGAAAATTCATTATGATGACATGGTAAATTCATTTGCTTATGAATTAATAAACGAATCAAATGAAAAGAAAAGAAAAAACAAGACAATATAAAAATTTCAGAAAAGAGTGACGATCAGACGACACAATTATTTTTACAAGCCGATCGAGGGTACCCCGTTTTCATTAGGTTTGGCTTTACCCGAAGGGTATGGCATGATCGAACTCCTTGCCGAACAAGAGATCAGACACGCGAAAGTCAATGGTAAATGTTTATACATACGTATTGTATTTTATGCGAATTCTTCATTGCAATTAAACTTGATTTCTAAAGATGTTTCGTTTGTCGTGGTTGTTTCTCTTTTCCATCAGTGACCGAATACTTCAAAGGTAGTCATTGGAAAGTACATCCAGATTGGGTGTACTGCGAATATAATTCGGCATCGGACAAGTCATTCATTTCCCCGGAGGATCGCGTTTTGCACTTTTTATCGCGCACGAAAAAACCCGCGTGGAAGTGGATGTCCTTGAGACCAAGGAGTCCAAGCTCGCACCATAAGCAGGCGAGCAAGCCGGACAAGGACTCTTATTACTGTAAGGATAAAAGCCAATTTCCATTACCTTCGATTTCAATAATAATTTAGCCGTTCTTCATATTTTGGATGATTTCAGGTGACAAGGGATTACTTCAATCGTTAATTTTGGACGCTATGGTAACGGATGGGTTTGATAAAAGAGGAAATTCGATGCACAAAGAAGAGAATACGAAGTAAGTAAATCGGTCCAAGTAAGCGAGGACAATGTGATTCTAGAAAAAAGCACGCGAATCCACCACACACGCGCAAAATGCACAAAAAGCACGCGATTATGTATTCACTTGTGTATTCACGCATCGTCACGAGCGCGTCAAGTTCACTTTATTGCAAAACACTTTATTATCAAATAAATGATACTTGCGCGCACACTCTTAATTCTGCCCGTGACAGGTTGTCTTGCATTATTTGCAAAGAGGATGGCGGAAGGTACCCTTGGCTGAAGGAAATACGTGGAGATACAAGAAAATAAAAATAAACGAAAATTCATGGGAAAATAATAATCATTCAGCTGGAATCGTATAGGCTGTTTCCACGTATTTCTTTCGTAGTTAGAAATGATATGCACCGTGCGCCAACGTTTGCTCTCTTTCATTTTACAAGACATTATAATTCATTGCATATATTTTGATTATATTTTATTATTGTGTGTCTCCACCGCTAGCCCTATTGCCATACTGATGGCTCTACTGCACAGGTAATTTGCAAAAATCCATTATGCACAATTATTTGTCTAAACGCGTACACGTCTACGCTGCAACGTAATAAGTTCTTACCCGGTGTCGTCTAATATAACCTGCTGTTGTACCTTATATATATATATATATATATATATATATATATAATATATACCGTTCGATCGCGTGATCGACATTAATTATTTCGACTAAAACTTTTGACTTGGATCTAACCGTTGCGATATATGGGGTGCAGAAAAGTTTCTACTAATTCTAACCTTCTAACATATTTTCAGCTAAGGGAGTATGGTACAATTGATTAAGAATACTTTTTATACGCCCTATATATTTGCATCCGAAGCATTCGAATCTCTCGGCTTTCTTATCGAAATGACGATCCGAGTAATCGAAGAAAAATTAATCCTTGGTACGAGTATATTGTACCAAAGGAGAGAGATCGTCTACATTTGAATGTGGTGAAAGCAATTCGTAATAAGAATTGTGAGAAGGGGGAGGGTGACTACTGTCACCGTTAGATAGATCAATTTAGCCGTTGTCTTGTCACATTCTCTCCAAGTCGCTAAATCATTTTGAGAAAATATGCTTATTATTGTTGAAAAGAAAGATAAAAGAAAAAAAAAAGGGGGATACGTTAATAAAATAATATGAAAATTTCTTGACTAATATAATCCGTTTGTTTTTGCAGCAAAGGCAGGGGTAGATTTGGGGTTATCAGAAGTTTTGTCGCAACTAGGAGCGGACTTTTTCGTTGGCACGAACATCAACAGGGCTATGACAAAGCAGAGGAGCCGTACGTAAATGATCTCACGATTTAATTAGCGTCAGATCGATCGAGGATTACGTCAGTCGAGTATTCCGTTTTCAGTTGGTTTCCCGATCAATACTCGAGAGCAATGGAGTCTTCTTGGTACAAACGTGCCGTCGATCAACACTCCATTGAACCGGAAAGTTTCGTTTTCAGCGTTCCATTCGATGCTGGTTGGTGTAAATACTTTTATTTGTTCACACAAACGCGTCCATCCTATAAATATAATTATTATTCTTTCGTTAGCTGAAAAACCGAATCCTCTGGTCACCGCAACGCATGCTATCTTCATCGGCAAAGGACATAAAGCACCGGCTGCAGTCGTCGGATTGCAATTTCAACATTCCTCTTTGGCATCCCATTTCGTTAACATAACGTCAACGGTAATCTATCAACTTTGACATTTCGTAGTTTTGTTTCGCTGACAACAATGAGAATTTTCATTTGGTAATTATTCCAGTGTACAGCTGGAACGACTGGCTGTAAAAAGAACTGCGGATCGGAGGAACTCGATTGTTATATTCTCGACAATAGTGGATTTGTCGTTATAAGCGAAAGACACGAACATACTGGCAAATTTTTTGGCGAGATAGATGGTACCATAATGGATTCCTTGGTACAGGATAGGATCTACAGGTTAATCATCAAAATATTCTATATTATATGAAAATATTTCAACTCGTAACGTTAACTCTTAATATTATTGCACAGAAAAGTAACCGTGATCGATTATCAAGGGACTTGTAGTCCTCAAGAGAGTCATCGTTCTTCGGCACCGAGAACTACATCGGCGTCCATCTTGAAAGGCACCGCACTTATTGGAAATTTCATTTGGAATCTCTTTTTGAGCTTCAACGTCCAAGACATTTGGCGTACGGTAGTGGCTTTTGCCAAAGACGCTGCTCATTCCATGCAAAACGATGGTAAATTGAACAATGAAAACATTGGAAAAATGAAATTCTTTGGAATTCATCTCCTTGTTTTCAGACGATCTGATATTATCCGACACCGAGCTCGAAATAGATTCGAATATCGACGATGCCGATGAATTAGGCGAACTCCATAATCTCGAATCGATAGCACCCGCGGAATCGACCGCGGAATCGGTTCCAGGGAAAGAAGATTTTTCGGAAATACCGATCGCACCCGCGATACCCGTTTCCCCGCCTACTACTCGTGCCACTTCCGCCCACTTTCCAGCGCGCAAATTGAGATCTTGCGAAAAGAAGACGGATCTTTATATTCTGCAGCCTGAGAGACTCAATACAAGCGGCCAGAGCAACCCGCTCAAAGGGAAACTAACGAATTGTCATGTTACGGGTTGCGAAAGGTAAGAAAGTAAAGTAAGTTTTCTACTTTCGATCGTTTAACATTGTGTTTTATCTTTGGCAGGCCTTTCAGCGTGCAAAAGATACGTCACACGAATTTGATCCTCCTCGTAGTGGACACGTTGTGCCCATGCGGCAACAAACAACTGAGCATCGAGCCCATCGAAGCAATGACGGAACCAGGAGCGTGCACGGCGAGAAGGGAACGGCTTTACCGGAGAAGGCCGCCCAAGTGTATAAATTATCATCCGGAAGAGATGGAAATAAAGATTTGCGGCGGCGCATCGACGCAATTCGCTCGATCGACGCAAATCGTCTTCTTATTAACGACCATCTTGGTCGTCAGGTTGGCGTGACTCTCCAATTAAGGCACGCACCCGCTTATTCAAATATACGCAATTCAACAAATTCACTTAAGAGAATAACAAATGAAGCAACAAAATGCTTGAGTCATTATAGGAGCGGTCTACTCTGCCTTTTTCCTCCGCAAAAGAAAACAGAAAGAAAATCCTTTTTCGTCTCTGGCTCTCTCTTTCTCTCCTAACGAATCCGTCGTCGCACCGATAATAACGAATCTCTCTGTCGTCTCGCTTGCGATCCAAGTATTCGAGCTTTTGCACGTTTTCTAATTCGACTATTTCTTTTCTCCCCACTAATATTTCTTCTCATTTCTAGATTAGAAGATATCGGATGTAATATTTCATATATCGCGAACCGTTGCTTTATATTGCCGATCGATCAAGGCTTCCAACTTAAATCACCCTTTCTCTTTTCTTTCCTTTTTCCTTTATTTCTTTTCTCTATTCTTCTATTCAAAGCAAACAATCTCCCACTAATTATAAACATACTAATTGTTCTTTTTTACTAACGGGTCAATCGCTAATTGTAAGACGATTTATTTCATGGTCATCTCTGGTTCCGTCCCTATATAAAAGTCATTATTACGACAGTTACGAGTACACGTATTTACTTCGCAGTAATATATACATCCTTTGATCTTTTTCCAGGAATGAGATTGAACGTCGAGTCGGTTTATAACGATAAAAGAGGATAGAAAAAAGATTTTTTAAAAATATCGAAAAAAAAGAATGAAAAGTGCACTCGTTATGCGATTTTAAAGCTCACTCTTGCGTATAAATTGTCAATCCAAGAGTTGGTTGCAAACCGATTCGACGAATGAGCAAATTTATCTTTCGCGTCGAATATCGATATATGGTCGAAGTTTTATTCGTGCGAAAGCGCCTAGAGGAAAAGTCCAAGTAATATAAAGGAAAAAGAAAAAAGATTTGCGTTAACGTGCGACGAGATTCGGAGTCAGGGCGAAATAATAAATGTTAAAAGAAGGAAAACAAAAAAAAGAAAAGAAAAAAAAGAATCGAAGTTGTTGAACGAAAATTTTCTCCATAAATTCGTTGTAAAACTATCTCGAACTTCCGGTACACATATTGATTAAAAGAAAAAAAAAAAGATACTCACGCAAAAATACACGCGAGACCTCACAGAGGGACCGTTCTCGATATTCACGAACACAAGTTCGTATATTATATATGCATACGTACATATATAGATGACAAATAATATATGTATATGTATATAATTGAAAACGTGTATAGCGGACCGATGAAAGTTTAACGGTCCATCTATTGGGAGAGCCTAATTGTTGCTTCAAGCAACGATGGCACTTGAACATATTAGATAAAAAATAATCTTTTAAACGGCCCCCGTTCGGGCGCCAAAACGTCTTCCAGTATTTGTATATTAATGATAAAAATCGACTATAAAGGATATATTATATATACATATACACATACATATATATACATATAGCTATATATACATGGATAATAAAAATACTAAAAATACTTGGGGAAAAAAAATTATAATAAATTAATTAATT